TTACGGAAGATCTCAAAGAAAAATGCACCATTAGAAATTCAAGTAACTTTTATACACTCAGAGAAAAAAATATATTCATTTTCAGGAGAACAGCAATATCCTCTTCTTATTTTAATCACAAAAATAGTTACGAGAACTGTTTTTCTATAATGTGATTCAGTGATAATAACATACATATCGCTGCTATTTTTGCGGTCAAAATAGAAAGAGGATATTGTTGTCCCCGAAAATAACTGTATTTCTCTTTCAGTGTAGGAAAAAATTACACAAACCGGGTCATTTCGACCGCTTCGGTATAGTTCTACTGTTAACCGCGACGACAATTAACGCGCACCGACGGCGCTTAATTGGTCTCGTGCCGGTTATCGGAACGTATCAGAGAAATATCAGATGCGAGACGCGAATATGCTGGCCGGACGAACGTCGGTGCAGCCGCAGCGTGAAATAGGATCCCTCGCGGGCCGAGCAAAGCAACCGTCGTGACGGAAACGAAAACTTCACGTGCACCCTCTCGGGAAGCCTGTCGAGAATTCGCTCTGCGAGTAAACGTGTTCGCGCGCGCGCGCGCGAAGATCGCCGATTCTCCCGGCATTGTCCCCCGCTCGTCGCCTCGTAACGAGTCGCATGCCCGACTCTTCCTGTGCGACCGATTAAATTCACTCTTCTCCGCGCAGAGAAAGAGAGAGAGAAAGCGAGAGAGATAAGACACATCGAACACGTTGCAGGCGCGAGGATGATAATGCCCTCGCTCATTCGCTTGCCCGGCTGATGGCATGCTGCAGAAAAACTCACAGCCGCTTATATCGGAGCCGTTACGAATGCGTGACGAACGAGGAATCACGGGATATATTTTTCCTTCGTCGGTCGCCGCCCGTTATTGCGAATACTCCGCCGCCGAGAGAGAGGGAGAGAGATACATTTTTAGCATTTGTAACGGCAATGACGCACATGAATGAAAGAATTATAGTGTCAGGACCAACCATTTTTCTCGTGTCGTCATTATAGTTCCGGCGACAATAAACTTACTCACCCAGACAGCACGATGTCTAAAATCGGACGGTAAGAAGTCTTTAAGACGACTTACGTCCGGACGTTTTTACGACCTCTTAAAGACGTCTCAAGTCAACATCTTATGTCCCGATTTCGGACGTTACACTGTTTGGATGCGTGCACGCTGCTACTACTGTTTTCTCGGTCGAAACCGGAAGAAGATACATTGTTGAGGCCGAAAATAACTAATTTCAGTGGGACTTCTCTCGGTGTGTACGCGATAATGAATGCGAAAAAAAGACGTACGTTTGGCACGAGTCGACTACACTTGAGAAGCCAGAACGAGAGAAGCAGAGAAAGTGAGGAGGGAGAAACGAAAAGACAGAAAAAGAGAGAGAGAGAGAGAGATGCGACTATTTTATGTCGCAAAGTTTGGATCGAAGACAATCGACTCTTCTGTTCGTTCGTATCCGACCCTGCGTAACATTTCGCGCGAATGCGGATCCGCGAATATGTTTCGTACATATGGTTCTTAACGTGTTATTAATTCGTAAGCAAACACGACGAGCCGAACAGACACGACGATGACGGCGGCGGTTCGAGACGAGGAACGCGCGCAAATAAAATTTAATATCGGTCGATCAGCTGGTCGCGTTACCATAACCGCAACGGCTGTTATTGATCCGCAGCGCACAGCAAGGTTTCACGTAACGTTCGTACGCGCTCGTAGAGCTTGCGGCACATCAGCCACGTCGTGTCCGCAATGTACTACACCCGTCGTATCCGCATCCGCGCATTTCGGATTCTCCCCCGTATTTCTCTGAAATAAATCGTGCTGCGTGCACGCGCGTGCGACAACACCGAGATTCAACACGGCGAGATTCGCACTCGCGCTCGGTTACTCACCGATGCTCGTTCTCCGTCTCCTGGAACCGATGCTAAAAAACTGCGGTAAGCCGCATGGTACGCGCGGGAAATTATTAATTCACTGCCCGGCAATCGCCAAAGGAGAAAGAAGACGCGGGTAAATTAACAAGCGTGCGCGCGAGACGAGAGAGAAAGAGAGAGGAAGAGAGAAATAGAGAAAGAGAGAGAGAGGGAGAGAAAGATAGAGAGAGAGAGAGAGAGAGAGACCAGGGAAACCACCGGATAAAATCGATATACGAATTACTTCGGGCGCGGATCGACTCGGTTTTAGAGCGTACAAGCTTATTAAAGAAGCGCGGACCGCGCGCACCAGAAAACTAATAACCACTGCGCTGGGTATTGCTCGCGCGACAGCTAGCCAGAAGCAGCAGCAGCAGTAGCGGCGGCAGCGGCACGAGCCGAGGGTGAGTTTTGGCGATTGCCTGCGCGCGCATCTTACGGAATACCCTCGTCGCCCTCTCGTCGTAGTGCCCGCCGACGCAGCCGCAGCCGCCGCCTCGGTTGTTGCCTGTTATTCTCGTCGTCCCCGAATCCAAATTTTCTCGCAGCGTCCCCGTGACCGTCCTCTCTCGCGTCCGCGTGTTCCCTCCCAGCGAGAAGGAGCGAGAAGGAGAGGCGCGTCGCAACTTTTCCGCCGCCGCCGGGGTCTGGAAAAAAAAAAGAGCGCGTCTGCGAGGTGGAACTTTCGGGGAAAAGAGAACAAAAGACGAACTTTTCTTTCTCGTTCTTTCTCTCTTTCTTTCTTTCTTTTAATCACGCGCCAACACCGGACGTCATATTAACAGCTCAATTTGAAACTTGGAATTGTGCCAGTGCAACGGGACCGAGCGTAAGACCCCGTTCATTCAGTAGGCCGAGTAATCGAGAAGTAAACAAGGTTGTTCGTCAACCCACAACGATCGTACGCGCAAAAACGAAGCGCAGCGATGATGATTGATTCGTCGAGCCCGGCTCGCGAATTTCATGCGACCACAGCTATTCTAAAACTACCGACAATTAACGTACACTTTTCTACCGGAGTGGTTTAAGTGAGATTTTTGAAAAAATATGTTATGCAAAAATGCAAATTCGTTGACACATCGCAACAAAAATTACGGAAGATCTCAAAGAAGAATGCACCATTAGAAATTGAAGTAACTTTTATACACTGAGAGAAAAATATATTCATTTTCAAGAGAACAACAATATCCTCTTCTTATTTTAATCACAAAAATAGTTACGAGAACTGTTTTTCTATAATGTGATTCAGTAATAATAATATATATGTTGCTGCTATTTTTGCGGTTAAAATAGAAAGAGGATATTGTTGTCCCCGAAAATAACTGTATTTCTCTTTCAGGTAGAGCATACAATGACAGTGACGTCAAAGTGATGGCAAAATGATGAAAAAAATGAGTTTTCCTCGCCATTTTGATGTCATCGTCATTGTATGTTCTATTTGCGTAAAACTGAACCGGGCCTTCTTAATAGTACATACTACATTCTGTTTTTATAAATACATCACAGAGGCTATGCTAACTGACATAAGATTCTTCATCATGATTTAAATCTAATCGTTGATTAGATCTAAATCATGATGATTGTTGATTAGATCTAAATCATGATGATAGAAACGACCATTTAGTCTTAACTTCTTTAATATTGTTTCAACATTGTAGCAACATAAACAATCAATATAGAAGAATTAATATAAATTCAACATTGAAAAGATATTTACATTTTAACATTCAATGTTGTAATATATCAGCAACATTGTTTTTATTTTCTGTGCTATGTGGTTTGGGAATAAATCTTTGTACAGCGCGAGTACGTCCAACTAACTTTTCGACGTGAGATGGGCGACTGAATTACAGCAATTAAACAACAATGTACGTGTAAGTGTATACATATAATTTAACCTACAAATTTATCTGTATACGTATTCAAGTGATCCATGCTCTATATACAACGTGTCTCAATTATTGCATATGCAACACCGAAAATATTAATAGGATTACGCAGTAATAACATTATTAAATTAACTACGTCAAAGTGTTTTAACTTACCGTCGATTCTCCTCATCCTTGCCGACAGCAGCTCAAGGACGATTTCCGGCGCAGAATTTAAAATTCTCCATTATCATTTTCGACGTTAAAAATATTTCGATAAAGAACATTCTTGCATCATGACACCGAAGTTATCGGAAATTATTTCTCCTAAAAGGGCGAAATATTTATTTAATAGATACAGCAGAGGGGATATACAATCAAAAATCAAACTGTTCTATTTTTTTTTTATTAAAATAAAATAGCTCGGGAAGAAATGCGACGAGATAATGCGATGACATCAACGCATAATACTGAGGAACATAGCGAACTGATAAAAAATTTCTTTTAAATATCATTCAATATCAAGATTAAATTAATTGATAGATGCGTTTTCATAATTCTCTCGATCGTCGGCCGATGCACTGATTTCACAATAAGTATTCTCGCTAAGTGTGTGTCGTGATTATTCGTGTAAAGTATCGAAACGTAAAAACGATATGTAATCATTGTTATCGATAAACTTTAATTTTCTTGTTGTCATTAAAAAAATGCAAAATCATATCATATAAATTTAATGAGAAGGGAGGCAACATCCCGGGAAAAAATGATTATATATGATTATATATAATAATGTAAAATCATACATAAACTTTGTTTATATATGTTACATATATGTTATATATATAATCGTATATGTCTATACGGAAAAAAATGATGGTATATCATTTAATTAAATTCATTAAATTATTTAATTAAATGTAGATATCATGTTTTAGAAGCTTTAATGTAACCAGAAGCATTTACTCCGATTGTATTTGTGTATAATTTGTAAACAACAGTATTTGTTCGTTGTGAACATATATGATTATATATAGTCATAAATGAGCAAATTTCATATATTATCTTTTTTATGCCTGGCGGAGAAATGGTTGCTAAAAAATTGTTCATTACAGCGAACATTATATGAATGTTATGCGACTTGCTAATTAGAAGTTCTATTTCTATTGCTTTAATCATCACCCTAACAAAGTCCAACTGAACGATGTGCATAATAATCGTAAAACTTTTGCGTATATCCTCGTTATTCCGACCACGTTGCAGTTCGGGTTGATTGCGCAGGCGGGAATATTATTTGCAAGGTTGTGTGTCGCATTTGTACCTTGTAGTCATACTTACTTCTTCCAACATTTTCACAGCAAATTAGATCTAATCGCATTCTTTTTCGAGAAAATTGCCACTCGTCGACCGATACATGAGAACATATTTCTTGATATTTTATGCGGAGCGGAAAAAATCCGCGGTGCGTCCTACGTGCTGCGAAGTTTCGCTGGTTGAAGGTAAGGTTAGGTGACGTTGCAGCGCTGAAGATGGCCGAAAATGTCGCGCGTCAGTCCGATATGTTCGCGAGGAGAGAAACGCCGCCGTAAATATGTGCGCGTGAGACAGTGCGAGACGTTCGGTTCGTCTTATTCAGTGGAAATCCGCATTTACGATGTCGGATGAGTCCGAGTATGACGTGGAGCCGGAGGAGTTCGATATCTACAAGAGGAAATATCAATTGCTGTTGGAAAGATGCGAGATTTTACAACAGGTAATCCCGTTTCCCCAATCGCGAAACCATCGTGGCGCATTTCACAGGACGATCATTTTTTAATCTGTCGCTTTTTCTTCGAACTACAGGAGAACGAACGATTGGTCTATAGAATTCAGAAAGTGAGAAAGCTCCTGCGATATACGAGGAAGGAGAAAAAGTTAGTGTTTTCTAGGTTAGGATGGGTTAGTCACCGACTTGAAATCAATGCAAAATTCTCATTTAAATATTGTGATATTGATCGATAGATTTTTGATCGATCGATTGGACCAACATGGAGATCGTTGGCGCGAAGCACCGATGGGGGTACTCGAGGAGAATAGCGTGTTTCAAACAACCCCAAAACCGGAGAGAGGGGGCAAAGGTGCTTCTCACAATGCCAAAGAGGAGAAACCCAAGAAGGGAGCCAAGAGGAAAGGCGCGAAAGCTGACCCGAATGCGCCGAAACGCCCTGCCAATCCATTCTTCCAGTTTTGTCAAGAACAAAGACCTCGCGTGATGGAACGTTTGGCTGGAGAACCGGAACCTAGTAAACAGGAATTAACCAGGCAACTCGCAACCACATGGAAATCTCTCAGTTCTGAGGACAAGAAGGTAGGATCTCCTACTATTATGTATTTTAGTGTCAACTTTTATGATCATCCTGAGCATAAAACACACAACATAGTTGCTATCGTTACAGGTGTATTACGATATGTACGAAAGATCCAAAGAGAAGTACGTTGCTGAGATGCAAATATACAATAAAAAAACCGAAGATGCACCGTGTCAAGTGCCGTTAAATATCACATAATATTACATACGTGACAATGCCTATTCATTGTAAGATAAGTAATTTATGGTTGTAACTTTTTAACATAGAAACAAGTTATTGTATATGCATATTAATAGTGTTTATAATTAGGATATGTATATATTAAATATTGTACATATTAGTTTTTTTTCTGATACAAGTGAATGTGGATACAAAATCTTCGACCCATGCACCTTTCAAGCCGCACTTTGAAGTAATGTTAGTTAAATGTAAATATTCAGTGAGTAAGTTACGGAAGATATTTCTGTAAGGTACCGCAAATTAAGCTTAGAAATTGTCCTTCTTGCGCCTTAAGTGCGACATTGTCTTGATAGGATCATCTTGCTGCGCGTATTTCATGACGGACTGTTCATGCACCCTCATAAATGGATTCGTCAATTTCTCGTTTTTGATGGTGCTCGGCACAGTTGGAAGATTATTATCACGTTGAGTGTTTGCCCAGTCCAATTTTTCTTGAATCGCCGTATTGTCGGGTTCCACGTGTAAGCCGAATTTCAGGTTGTTAACTGTATATTCATGCCCGCAGTACACTTCCTGAAAGGTGTCCAAAAATGGTTCACTATAAAGATGACAACACAACCTAAAAAGGGTAATCGAGTATTTTTACAATTAGAATTGAGTGACTTACTGTTTCCTCGGGTAAAGAACCCAGAACCTCGACAAGTGCCTTGTACATTTGATCAGCGGTACCCTCGAAAAATTTGCCACAACCTCCGGCGAAGAGAGTGTCTCCTGCGACACAAAATTCAATTCATTCAATGTGAACGATTTAATGTTTATATTTAATATCTCTCATTCTGACTGTATCCAGTTTTACCTGTGAAAACAGTCGGAGGATATCCTTCTCCCGTGATATAGTAACAGATATGGCCACGTGTGTGACAAGGTGTCGACAGACACTTCACAGATAAATTACCGATATTGAATGTGTCATTGTGCTTAACTTCGTGGTTAATAGCTACTATTCTGTCGTCTCCACCGTACACAGGAAGATCAGTATAGGTTTTCAGTAATTTTGCATTCCCACCGGCGTGATCCCAATGATGGTGTGTAGTTAAGATCTTTGTCAATTTTACGTTATTTTGCGTCACAGCGGTAACTACGCTTTCTGGAGCAACGGGGTCCACGATGGCAGCCTCTTGTGTCGCTTCATCGACAATCTTACAAAATTGTAGGAAATTATTAAAAATTACGAGCAATAAAGGTTGACTTTATTAATTAGTAACTTCTAGGAACACTATATAGCACAGTCTATAATATAAAATATTCTTTTTAATAAATAAATATAAGTTATAATAAAGGGTATTTTCAAATATTGAATAAATATAGAGGTTATGTATACTCAGGCTTAAATAATTACATGTAAATGTTACAATAGATGCGACAGCACGTACCAGATACATGTAATTATCGTGAAGCGCCGGCAATATGTGAACTTTCATTTTGGAATGATCTACCGTTTTGCTGAGACTGTGAAATCCACCAAATCCGTGGGAAGATATACTTTTTACTGAAAATGTTAAAAAGAAAGCACACGAGATGATATATATATATATAAAGTATAATTTATACACGTCATATAATTTACATATTGCTTGTCACTTGTGTGCGGTACAAACATTCAACAGACAGACTGATGAAAAAGCGATCGAACGGATGAATAAAAAAACTAATTGCGTCGCCTCGTAATGATAATATATAATACCGCTTGCAAAGCAATGTAAAGCGCAATAGTGAAGACGAATGTGAGACAGATACCCCTAAAGTATAAGGATGTGATTGTGCTCTCGAGCCACGTTGGACACACCCGAAGTGCAGCTTGACTGAACATGACGAAACTGAAATCCTCGACGTGGCACTTGAGTTTTTGAGCGCGCGATTTTGTTTGTGCGCGTAAAACTTACTACTTATACGACTCCTTTGCTCCACTCGCTACCGATAGATGTGGTACGGATGCTGGTGGTAATAACATATACTTGCCTGATAACAATGCACCGACGCAGTGCTATAAAGAGAGCAAACAATCGGATCGATCAAAGAACAGCTGATCGAAAAAAATACCCAACTTTACCCGGAGTCGGCCGGCACCGCTGGTATCACTCAGCTCAAGCGGTGCTTTCGAAGGTTATGTTGGGCGACTTGGCAGAGCGCGCGTATGTATACACACAGTCGGCGAATTAACACGCTCATTGCCAAGCTGAAAATTGGAATTTCGTATTTTTTAAATTTTTCAACTTAGTTTTTATTGTGCTCAAAATAAGTGAATATATTATTTATATGCTTTTATTATTATGTACATAGGATTTATGCACTCTGAATATCTATTACGCGATAACGCGTGATCGGCCGTTTGGTGAGAACTCGCAATCACGCGATATCGCGTGATTGGCAATGAACGTGTCAAAGTTGTCGCGACAACTCTTCCCCGGTGAGTTTCGCGACGCATCTTGTGTCTAATAAGAGAATTTCTTTCATAATAATTCTTATCAGATATATTTTCCTATTGGATACAATATACTTTTTGCGAAATTCATCCAAGAAAAAATGTCGCAACCTGCCGACATTGTGTGTACGTGTGTGTATATGTGTGCGCGCTACAGTTAGGTTATGTGAACGAGCCTTCGCTCTGTTTCAAAACAGACGCTTTTAATCGTATCCTCGAAACGTATCTTGCTTCAATTACGTGGTCTTGATGAATGGGTCCGAGCAATCGACCAGGATGTCTGCCGGCGACACGCAAGGTGTGATTACGATAGACGACGGCGAGTATCAAGGTTAGTTTGATAGTGAACAATGAATTTCACGACAATTCTGCCCTTCGTGCGCGTTACTTTCTCTGATACGCAATTCCTCTTTTTCTCCTTTCAGTCACGGAGAATGACGAGATAGCCGCCATCGATTACGAATTGCAGCAGATAGAGAGCGAGATGCAGAAGCTCGCGGATCGCAAGAAGATGTTGACTCAACGCAAGGAGAAATTGCGCGACGACGCTCTTCTGAAGAAGAGCTTCTGCCTGTCCAAGAAGAATTGGAACAACGAGGACTTCGAATGGTCCGCCAAGCTGAGGAGAACACTGAGGGATACATTCAAGATAGAAAAATTACGGGACCTGCAGCTGCCGACTATGAACGCCATCATGTCGAAGGAAGACGTTATATTAATTATGCCCACGGGTGGTGGGAAAAGTTTATGCTACCAACTGCCGGCTGTGATCAGCAAGGGCGTAACGATAGTGGTTTCGCCGCTGATATCTCTGATGGAGGATCAGCTGCACGGGCTGCGCAGGTTCAACGTGAGAGCTACGATGTTGTGCGCCAAGGCTGACAAAGAGAGCGTCAAGGCGACCATGAACGCCTTGGTGGATAAGAATACCGACCTCCGGCTGATTTACGTTACGCCGGAGTATATGGCGAAGTCGAATCGCTTCATGAGCAAGCTGCAGAAGGCGTACGAGCTGCAGAATCTCGCGCGTTTCGCCGTGGACGAGGTGCACTGCTGCAGTCAGTGGGGTCACGACTTTCGACGCGACTACAACTTCTTAGGCGTATTGAAGTCCATGTTCCCCGGCATACCGATTCTCGGTCTGACCGCCACAGCCCCGGCCAAGATCATCGTGGACGTGCAGAAGATGCTGGACATCAGCGGCTGCCTGGTGCTGCGAGCCTCGTTCAACCGGCCGAATCTGTTCTACGAGGTGCGCCGAAAGCCGTCGGACAAGGAGACGTGCCTGGCGATGATCGAGAGTCTGCTGAAGAACCGATTTGCCGGCAAGTCCGGCATCATCTATACCACCACGATCAAGGAGGCCGAGCAACTGACCACGGACCTAAGGGGGAGGGGCGTGAAGGTCGGCTGCTACCACGCGATGCTCGAGGCTGAGTACAGGTCGGAGGTCTACTCCAAGTGGATCTCGGGCAAGTACCAAGCCGTGGTGGCGACCATCGCCTTCGGGCTGGGCATCGACAAGCCGGACGTGCGATTCGTCATTCACCATTGCGTCTCGAAGTCGATGGAGAACTTCTACCAGGAGAGCGGCCGGGCCGGCAGAGACGGCAAGAAGTCCGTTTGTATCGTGCTCTACCGGCTGGCGGATGTGTTCAAGCTCAGCACCATGGTGTTCCAGGACAGGGTCGGCCTGCAGAACCTGTACAAGGTGTTGACTTATTGCCTCGACCAGACGTCTTGCAGACGGAGTCTGATCGCGACGCACTTCGAGGAGACTTGGGACAAGAGTGACTGTGTCGAGATGTGCGACCACTGCAGGAAGCCGGCCGCCGCCAGGGAGACCGACGTGGCGTCCTATTGCAGACACTTGTACCAGATCATGACGAAAGCGGTGCAGAACGAGACGCGGCTGACCGCCCTGAAGCTCGTGGACGCCTGGTACAGCAAAGGCGCCACGACCCTGCGGGTCGCCGGCGTGCCAGTACCGAAGTTCACCAGGGAAACCGGCGAGGCCATCGTCGGCCACCTGCTGGCGAACGGTTATCTGCAGGAGGACTTCCACTTCTCATCGTACACCACGATATCGTACCTCAAACGGGGACCCAAGTCGGGCCTGGTCGCCAGCAACGACCACAAGATACCCTTCAAGTACGACATACACTACTAAGATCAGATCCCTAAGACACTAGCGACTCTCAAGACAACTGTCGACTGTGATAACTCATGCGGACAATTCCTCGCCGATTCCTGACGCTTCATTTCATCCTGCGCGTTCAACGGGGATGCAACGGGCGTAGGGAAATCGTTACGTCTGCTTTATTCAAGAACCCGGTTAATTATTAATGCTCTCGCACAAGCGACGCGAGAAAGTCGTCGCTGCGCCCGTGGCGCGTCGTCGATTTCTCTCTCTCTCTCTCTCTCTCTCTCTCTCTCGCTCGCTCGCTCGCTCGCTCACTCGTCGCGCCCCTTGACTGACCGTCGAAGAGTCGCGCGCTTCGTCGCAGTGAAGAGACGCGGTTACACGTGCGCGCATACACATATGTCACACACGAGAGAGAGAGAGAGAGAGAGAACAGACAGGATGATCGATCGAGGAGGCGAGAAGCGCGCGCGACAAACGAAAGTGCATGCATACGGTGCACGGCCGCGCGACGATTAAGAAGCGAATACACTGGATGATCGATAAAAACTGCCTAGGAAGAGCAGCTCCAAGTGCGGCGGTATGTCAGCGGATCGGGTAGTAGGGCAGCCGGCTGCGCGATCAGATGGAAATATTGATCTAGGATAAGAAATATCCGACTCTCTATGTGCGCGCGCGCGTGTATATAAGTGTACATACATATAAACGTATATGTGCGCCGACACTGAGCGACGCGTGTTCGTCGTTGCGTAACGAGGCACGCGTCGGAGGCTCAGGGGATAAGTTCGCGCGGGAGCGCCGACGTCCTACGTGGATTTCCGCGGATTTTCTCAGAATCGACGTACTTGCGCAGCGGCGGCAACAGCGACGACGGTGGAGGAGGAGGAGGTGGTGGTGGCGGCGCTCGCGCAGTGAACGGCGACTCTAGCGGAAACGGGGACGTCGATCGGCGCGTACGCGAGCGAGCACTGGCCGCCACTGGGATTTTTGTTTATCGCGCACGAGTGGCGCGCGATGCCGTCGCGTTCGTCGGCCGACGAGGAGCACCACGAGGATGACGAGGAGGAGGAGTGAGATCGCACAGCCGGGCAGATTCCTCTCGTGAGCCCTCGCTCTCGGTGAGGTCTACTCGAAGCGAGGAGGAACGATGGGAAGTCGCGCACTCGAAGACGCGCCGTCGTGGAAGCCGGGACTTGGCGACACGTAAAACGCGGAAGCGGCGCGCGTACCGTGCCTGCAACTGAGCCAATCGAGGGCGATAAGGGGATCGCGCGTATCCGACGATATACGCAGCGCGGGAGGCACAGGAAGGAAAAGTCGGTCTCTCGCTTACTCGGACGGCCGATACTCTATTCCGGGTACGACGGGGGTGATCGCGCGATATGCCCGCCCTCCGTATCGCCTTCTCCGGCGATTCGCTCGGTTCTACGTTGCTGCGTTGGCGCGGATGGCGGTTCTTCGCCGACGAGGATAGCCCGGATCGGGGCTGGAGTTTCGGTGAGGAGCTCGCGGACCACGGAGAGACGCGTGCCGACGCTCGACGCTCGGGCTCTTCGGTGTGAGACCCCCACAGTCCAAGAACGCGTCGTGCTCCACCGGGAGATGATGACAACGTCACCGATCGGCCAGTGATCGCTCGAACACCGCGACAATGCCGCTGCCGAACATTCTGAGGAAGGCGAGCAGCTACATCCTCGGCGACTGCGGCCAGGACAACCGGCGCGTCATCTACCAGGACGGCGAGGCGTTGTTCTGCAAAAACAACGTATGCGTGCACCCGCCGACGCTGATGCGGCAGCACGCCGACGTGGTGCACCATCCGGGCTACATGACTATCACGTGCAAGCTGAACAAGAACTCGAACTTGCCGACCCTGCACCTCAGCTGGATACCCAACAGCACGCTGCGCAAGCACCCCACCACGTTGGAGAGCCTGAGCGCGAGGAACGTCGCGGCCGCTCAGCGGGACTCCGCCGAGCCGGCTTCCCCTCGCTCGCCCCGCTCCGAGAAGACGTGCGGCTCGCTGAACGCGAGGCACGAACTCGAGAACGAGAACGAGAATGAGAACGAGAACGAGAACGGGAACGGCAAGCTGGACGTGTGCCTGGAGGCGAAGGAGCCCGTCAGCTGCGGCGACTGCGAGCGCGTCTGCTCCGGCTCGGGGTACGGCTACGACTTCCTGCGCCGTCGAGACCCGGCCAGCCAGGCCGGCGACGGCGACAGCCTCGGCGAGGCCGAGAATCGCCCGGGCTCGGGGGAGTCGCGGAACGACGAAAACGGGGATGTGAAGGAACGGGGCAACGACGCCGACGCCAGGAGCATCGACGAGGAGGCGCGTCTCTCGTTCCGCGACGACGTCAGTGTCAAGAGCCGCAGTCTGTCGTTGACATCGACCTGTAGTCTCTCGCTCACGGTACCTACCGACGGTACGTGATGACGTTTCGGGACAGTCGAAAAGTCCCATTTCTCGGCTGAATTTAGCTCTATGCGTAATTATTAGCATCATATTTCGACGATAACAAGGCACTCATCGATTAAGTAACTGGAATTCTTATTAAAAGTCGTTTTGTAATTTTTCACTAGGTAATTGAAATTGTTATCCGAGTCATTGTAAATGTTAGCCAAGTATTTTTAATTGTGTTAACCAAGTCATCGTCATCGTTAACCAAATAATAATTGCAATGGTTAACCAAAGTTGTCGTAATTGTTAATGAAGCAGTAGTAATTGCTGACCACATAATTTTTAATCGTTAATCAAGTATTTGCAATTCTTCACCAAATAATTATAATTGTTAACCAAGTAGTAGTAATTTTTGACCAAGTAATCTTAATTAACCAAGTTATTACAATGATTGACTGAACATTTGCAACTGTTAACCAAGTCATCATTATTAACCAAGTAATTACCATTGTTAATCAAGTAATAGTAATTGTTGACCAAGAACTGTAATTTTCGGCCAAGTAATTGTAATCGTTCACCAAATTATTGTTAACAATTACAATAATTTGGTAACTATTCATCAACCAAGCAATTACCATCATCGACTATGATCCTTCTTCAGGACTCGGGCAGAATTCGTATGTCTTTGTCTTAAAAGATGCCACTAGATCGTCGAAGAAGACGTTGAAAATCTAGCTGAACCTTGTCAATTAACCCAATAGATGCCCAGCCACGTTCGATCTTTCGATTAACGCACGATGTCGTTGTTCCCACAGCCGAGGAGATGCCCACGTGGATGAGGTCTCCGGAGTTACTCGCCCTGCAACACAATCTTGCCTTTCCCGAGAGCGCGACCGCATCGCCGGTGACACTGCGGCGAGCTCATCGCTGCAGGAGGTTCTCGGTGGACCTGAGCGAGATGCGATCCCTTAGATTGTTCTTCGCCGACCCCGCCTGCACCTGCGGCCAATTGGTAGTGGCGAGCAGAGAGAGTCAATACAAGATTCTACATTTCCACCACGGTGGTTTGGACCGACTGGCCACCACTCTGCACCAGTGGCACCAGTTGCTCTACCCGCGTTTGAACGCGGACACGGAAGAGAGCCTGCCGTACAGGTGCCGCGAAAACGTTACAATGTATTGTGCAATTTATTGGGTCGATGCAAAGTTCGCCCCGTTTTTTTTTTTTTTTTTTGTACCACAGTTGTTTGCTCGGAATTCCCAGAATTTCGACGAACGTGGACACAACTATCGATGAGATGGCAGATCGAACAATATGATGCTCGCTTGATTGATTTTATTTTAAGGCTCCTGTTTCTTCACCGCATCTATTTTAATTGATGACATTAGAAACGAGAAAATATATGCTCAAAGTTCTTGCGAAATATGTTGAAATAAAAGGATATATCTTTAAAATGGTTCTTATGATCAATTATGAATAAATATTTGTAAAGTATTCTTTTTGATCTAACAATTAGTAAATAGCCGTGAAATTAACGTGACAAATCGTGAGAGAAGATAAGCTGAAGAAAGTTGCGTATTATGTTTATTTTGCGGTTACTTATTGATCGTTAGAGCAAAGAAAGGAAAGTTTTCAGAATATTTGACAAATGTGCTCAATCGATCTTGCGAGTTTCATTTTACGGATGTATGTCCTTTTATTTTAACGTATTTCGCAAGAATTTTCAACGTGCGTTTTCTTATTTCTGACGTCATCAAACGACTGCAGCGGAAGACCAAGAACCTTATCATAAATATTATACGTATACACATGTGCACACATAGTCAATATGTAAAAGTCGCAACTCGTTTTTTTTCGTATGTCCCGTTTTTCTCAAGATGTATAGACACACACACACACACACACACAGTCGGATTAAAGGTCGCACTTTTTTTTTAATGAATTTCGCAACACATCTCGTGTCCAATAGGAAAATGTATCTCTTGAGAATTACTAAAGATCAAATACTCTTATTGGAGACATACGATTCACTGCGAAACTCATCGAAAAGTGTTGCAATTTTTAATCTTTATATGTATGTGTGTATATGTATATTTTTTTTAATGAAAAACTAGACGCATTTTTGCATCAACTCAACAAACCGTGAATTCGGATACATCGATTAGCGATATATCAGCGTTGATTAATGCGCGAATGCAATTGTACGATGCGTACAGGCACTTCATGGTCTGCAGACCGGAAGTAAGCCGGGACGAATTGCACCCGGAGGAAGGTCAAGTGCCGATGATCACGTCGCTGGCCTGGAAAGACTTGCTGAACGAACGAGGCCAGGTGGAAGACGACCTCGCCCTTCGCAAGGGGATATTCTTCGGCGGCTTGGAGCCGGCACTGCGGAAGATCGTCTGGCCGTTTCTGCTGCACTGCTACTCGTATCAGAGCACGTACGAGGACAGAGAGCAGATCGACGCCATCAGGCGGCAGGAGTACGACGAGATACAGAAACGCAGGTTGAACATGAACCCGGAGCAGGCCGAGCGTTTCTGGCGGAACGTCGTGTGCATAGTGGAGAAGGACGTCGTCCGTACAGACCGAGCTAATCCGTACTACGCCGGCGAGGGTAATCCCCACATCGAGGTGATGAAGTAAGTCGATTCAACGATTATCGTTCAACGATTTCAATAATACTTGTGATCGATTGAGCACATTTGTAAAATATCCCGGAAACTTTCCCTTTACTTTATTACCATTCGGGAAAGATAATTATATATATATGATTATATATAATTATTGGGTTGTTCGGAAAGTAATTTCGTTTTTTCCCGACAGAGGATTTAATTGTATTTTTTCACAGCTAACTTCACACTTAAGTCGCATTGTCATTATATGTTTTGACAGCTGATATAGCAAGGCTTGTGTGTGAATAAGTTCAATTGATTTTACGCATAGTTTTTGGTCGGTGCCCTTTTAAATATGGAGAGCAATAAGCAGCATTTTCGTCATATTTTACTTTTTTACTATAGAAAAGGTAAAAATGCTGTTCAAGCCAGAAAGAAATTAAGCGATGTGTATGGAGAAAATGTGTTGACAATACGCCAGTGCCAGAACTGGTTTGCAAAATTTCGATCCGGCAATTTTGATGTCGAAGATGCATCACGTTCTGGAAGGCCGGTTGAAGCTGATAAAGACGCGATAAAGGCATTAGTTGATGCAAACCGACGAATAACAACACGTGA